GCCCCTGTCTCTCTCTCTCTCTCTCTCTCTCTCTGTCTCTCTGTCTGTCTGTCTGTCTGTCTGTCTGTCTGTCTGTCTGTCTGTCTGTTTGTCTGTTTGTCTGTCTGTCTGTCTGTCTGTCTCTGCCTATTTGTTTTTCTGTCCGTTTCTTTTCGTACAGATGATTGTCTTATACAGGTGGCCATTAGGGCAGGTTCGGCTGTGTTATACTAACAAATGGTTGTTGGCATAAAAGTGGTATGCTTTACTAAAACAAAATGCATTAATCTTTACGCAGTTGTTGAATAATCTACCAGTATAAAGACAACTTAAAATTTAAAACAAAACAATAAAAAAGACTCTCCCTACAAAAAGTAAAACAGATAGATGCAACGAATAAGCCAAGCATGCCATGGCTTACAAACCAGATGGTAAAGTATTCCATAAGCCTAATCAGGGGACAAAATACCTCCTCTCCGACCCCCAACCCCTGATCTTTCTTTCATTTTCTTTTTCAGCAGAGAAAAAAAAGAGAGAGAGGGAGAGAGAGAGAGAGAGAGAGAGAGAGAGAGAGAGAGAGAGAGAGAGAGAGAACAAGAGGGAAAGAAAGAGAGAGATGAAAACAGATTATCGAGAAAGGTGAGTATTGAGTTTACATGGTGATGAAGAGAAGGAGCAAGAGGATGAAGAAAAGTAGGAGGAGAAAAACAAAACAACGATGATCAGGAAGAAGAAGAAGATGATGATGATGATGATGATGATGATGATGATGATGATGATAATGATGATGATGACGATGATGACGATGATGATGATGATGATGATGATGATGATGATGATGATGATGATGCCAATGTGGCAAAACGTTCAGCTCATTTAACAAACAGGAATTTTTTTTTTTTATTTATATTTTCAGTCTGCAAATCAGTCGAGACTCTCCCTATCTACTCTGCTCTTTAAATAAAGACAATGATGATGATGATGATGATAATGATGACGATGATTTTTTAAATTCTACAGTCTTCATCGTTTTTGGTCTTTTTTCTGTCTACAATGATGATGATGATGATGATGATGATGATGATGATGATGATGATGATGATGATGATGATGATGATGATAATGATGATAATGATGATAATGATAAGGAGAACAACGACAAATTCAAAATCTATAAAACAGCAGCAAAACAAGACATCGAACCTGAGGGTGAGCCCTGTGAACTGCCTCCATGATCTTGTTCAACTGGGGTCGACCGAAGTGCGTTGTGGCCTTCAGACCAGTAAAAACACTTTTGCCACTGTTCAGTTTCTGGAAATGCTCCTCAAACACATACTGGAGAGCACATCAAAATAACATACAAATGTACATGAAAAAAAGCAATTATACATGTTTTATGAAGACACCATCATACTCCCCCTCATCCCCCTGAACATCGTATCCTTTATAAACATTAAAAGGACCCCCCCCCCCACCCCCTACAAGTTTAAACTCTTAGAAAGGAAGTCTAATCCCCGTTGGTATGCAGCTAATTTTGTCATCCATTTTTTCAGCATCACAATAGTCCTCATAACTCCATTCTTGTTTAACCTATTTACAGAAAACAAACACCAAGCTGAGTCGAAATGAATTATTCAAGTAGCAAACATATTATTTGAATACAGATAACAAGAATTGGACGTTGTTAGGTAGATTTTTGTTATGACTGTAAACAATCGAACGATACCTTGAGCCACTTGAACTGGCTTGTTGTATACTAACAGTTAACAGTCTGACAAGTTCTTTAAGACTTACTTATCTAATTATCTATTATAATAAACATTACTATTATCATTATCATTATCAGTATTATTGTTATCAATTTCAAACTATATTCTGTTAAGTCCACTTTTGTCCAAAGCCTTACCAGGAGAGATGTTCGGAGATCAAAGTTTTGAAAGAACTGTGTGATGAAGATGTCGATGGACACCATGCACTGTGTGTCAATCTCCTCCACCTCTCGGAGGATGTCAATCAGCCATTCAAAATGTCTCTGGCTGCCGGTGATCCAGATAAAGTACAGCTGCAGGAATAAAAAACCATACAGTAGGATATAATATAGGATCAAACTTAGTCCAGAATCTAGAAGCTGTAATTCTAATTCCTGTATTGCTACAAAGTGTGGCCCTTCTTGGGTCAGCTAGATGTATGCCCCCCGCCAATAACTCAACTTTTTGGGGTTTTTTAAAATCAGGGGATGATGAGAATTGTTTTGTTGGTGTCTGGCTGAAATCTATTAAAAAAAACATTTTGTAAGAAATTTAAAATCTATACCTTAACTCATTATCTCCGAGGGGGGTTAACCCTCTATGATGCGGCTCTTCTTTGAGCTAAATCTAAAAATAATAAAAACATCATTAAATGGGTCATTAAAACAAAACCAGAAACCCTATTTTGATAGTTCTTCATCTAATGAATAAACTGCTGGTAAAAGAGACTTGTTTTCGGCAATTGCCAAAAAGTAATTTGATGTCAGCGGCTCACCAGCACAGCTGTTTCCCTCAAATTCCTAATTATTCATCTTTCAAATATTTAAATACATGGTATAAGGTGCAGAATTAAGGGAAAGGTAGAGGAGGAATGGGGTGACACTGGGATAACATTAACTCTATGTCAGTGCTGTTCCTTGAAAACAAAAGACACTGAGTTTTATTGGTAGACTCACCTTCTGACATTTCACCTTGTAGCGCATATTGATAGAGGACATGTGGACAAAGTCTTTGAGAATGGAAGCATATGGAGTCACGCCGATTCCCGCCCCCACGAGCACACTGACATCATATTGGTACCAGTCCTGCTGACCTGCACCGTAGGGACCGTCCAGGTACAGCTGAGGAGGAGAAAACACAACAGTTGAAAATTGCTGTCTTTGATACAAGAGGCCGTATAAAAAAGGTAAAAACATTCTGAAGTTTCCATAAACAGAATAAGGTAATGTGATCAGCCTTAAGTTGGAGAAGTGAGTACACTTTTATAGACTGTCAAATAAGGAAGACATAAGGATATTTTGACAAAGACTTCATTTTATGTTGGCTCTATGCGGCTGATTCAGTTGTTATTTTTGTTTACATTCAGTACCTTTGTAGAGATTATAGAGCTCATTTCAAAAACAGAATCTACTCCATCATAAAGTTGTAAGGTTGAGTTAAGAGAGAAAATATTAAGTCTTTTGGATCCTTTTTAAACCCAAACTTCAGACTAATTAAAATTTATCACTCAAATCACTAAAGCACAGGCGGATAGGTTAAAAAATTCAATTTCTGAAATGAACTATTTGCATTTTGTACGATTTGAAGCACCACCACAAAATAAAAGCTAAAATCTGTGCCACTTCTGAACCTTAGGGTAAGCCTTGGGATCCTTCATGTTCTCATCCTCGAAGTTACATCTGAGATTCCAGGTCCAAGGGCCGAGGGCTCGGATGTGAAGCTTCAGTGTGTCCTCATGAGGGGCAGAGGTCAGGGTGAATGGGTGGTACTCATCTTTACCCTGGTTCAGACATGCAATGCGGACCCACTGACCAGATTTGTATTCAAAGCGAGGGGGGCGTTTGAACTCTATCATGGTTACATCTGGAAGCAAGAAAGAAAAAAAATTGGGTTGTTATTTTGGTTATCTAAAAATTCCTTTCAGCAATGGCTCTAGTTTAAACTAATCATCGTTTGTCTCAAGAAACAAAGAGATCTGGTTGTGTGAAAATTCATCTTTGCAAAAGCTCTTGTTTTCAAGGAGTAAATATAACTAAATGCAGCCCAAACAGATATCATGCAAATTACTGGCACAAGTTAGTCTCTGTTAGATATTTCATTGCTATTGTATCACGTTTATTGTTTTTTGTCTGTTTTTTGTTGCAGATCCTTCCATTTCGACCAATCATTAATATATTACTGGAAAAGCATGTAAACCACTGCAGGTGAAAGTGCACAAAATCAGACTACCATGGATGTGTGCACACATCAAAAGAAAGACTTTTACTCAGAGTGCGACTCATAGCAACATTTTCGGCAATCTGACAAGCAATTCAGATTTTCCAGAAGTTGGTTTTTTTTTCATGTTTTATTCTTTTGTTGCTATTTATTTAAAGCTAAAGACTGACCTGAGGGTAAGTTCTGTGCTTTGATGATACACAGTTCAGTTTTCTTCCTGCTCAGGGAGATGAGTTTGTCTGCCATGAACCAGATAGCAGGACCAGTGAAATACGCAAAGAACAACGGTTTCTGTGAAATGAAGGAATGAAGGAGAGATTGTGGATTATGGTAGGTAAAGAAAAAAACGTGGTGTGCGTGTGTAGGGGGAGGGAGGGGGAGGAAGAGGGGGGAGGAAGAAGAAGGGGAAGGAGAGAGAGAGAAAGAGAGAGAAAGAGAGAGAGAGAAAGAGAGAGAGAGAAAGAGAGAGAGACAGAGAGGGAGAGAGAGAGAGAGAGAGAGAGAGAGAGAGAGAGAGAGAGAGAGAGAGAGAGAGAGAGAGAGAGAGAGAGAGGGAGGGGGGAGAAAAAAGAAGGAAAGGATGGACATCAGTTAGTTCAACATTGTAACAAGAAGCTAGACCTTCAACTTTAACATCAATCTTTAAATAGGACCAAGCCAAATCGGTGGAAGGCTTAAAAACTTCCCAAAACAACGTTCAGAATGTCATGTTGGGGATTCAAACCAGGGCCTTCTGGTCAGTAGTCAAGCGTCCAGCACGATATCAACTGAGCTAACAGTGTGTCCCCAAAGCCCCTGTCTGACACTTGATCTTTTTGTTTAAAAACCTGATGGCTTAAAACTAATTCAAACTGTTTTTTGTCATCTTTTGACCCTACCTGAACGACCACACTAGCACCATGGATGATGGTGAGGACGTAGAGAATTATGAAGAGCTTGTGAGTGAGCCAGAACAGGTTGAAGATGTGACGTCTGGCTGTCTGTGTGGCAAACACGTAGATGATACACAGAACCAGCACGAGGAGCACCCCTGTGAAACCTGAGAAGGGAGGGAGAGAGAGAGAGAGAATGAAAGGGGGATGAGGGCGGAGACTGAAAGAGTGAATGGAAAGATGAATAAAAGTGAACATGCATTTACAAAAAGAATAATGGTGAGGTCTTTTTAAGAAATAATGGTTAACAGAATGAAAGCAAAAATAACAAAAAGAAGGAAAAAGATAAATCTGAATATTATTAATTAATTTCTATGTCCCACTCTCACCAGCATTTAAAAAAAATGAAATATCTAGTTTACTGGAACTTTGACGGAAAAAAAAAATTCCCTGAGAACTCTACAGAGTAAAATGTTATACAATTTTCCCACATATTTAACTGAAAAAGAAAGTTGAATAATACTTTGGTAATAAAATATGAAAGGTTTCCTGATGATTCATTCTGTTACAACTGAAAGTTGCACATTTTTCTAACAAAGAGAGGAAGAAAAAGAAAGTATAGATTCTCTAAAAGAGAACAACTTTTACCTCCAAGAGAAAATTTTCTTGCAGCTGTGAACACACAACATAAGTAATTTAAAAAAGATTTGTACGTTTAGGTAATCATTCGTTTTTTGCCCTACACCTCCCCGTGCTGCTTGCTCTCTCTCTCTCTCTCTCTCTCTCTCTCTCTCTCTCTCTCTCTCTCTCTCCCTCTCTCTCTCTCCCTCTCTCTCTTCTCTCTCTCTCTCTCTCTTCTCTCTCTCTCTCTCTCCCCCTCTCTAGTGAGAAACAAGCGTGGGGAGCACTATAATCATGCCCATGTCCAACATCAAAATCTGCAGCATATCAGCCCAACAACTGCTACATTCTGCTAGACATAAGTAAGGAAACACAATAATATTGAATTATACAGACACACGACAGACCAAACCAAAGCACTCATGAATTGCTCTCTCAGTAAATACCTACCTGTCATGGTACAGAAAAGCCATTCCTGGAAAGTAAACGGATACTCATTTCTGAAAAAACAAAATAAAAACAAATAAGTAAACCTTTGACTTCATGATTCTTGTAAGATTTGTATGACAACAATTTCAAAACATGTCTGAGCCACTGTCCCTTTGTCTGTCTTTGCATATTCCGTTACTACTCTCACCCCTCTTTCCTCTTCACCTATTCTCCCTTTTTCTATACTCCCCCTCCCCCATCCCCCACTTCTTCTTCCTCTATATAATCAATATAACTAGCTCAGAAAGTTTTGGAATGTGATATGGTCTTTAGCGTGACTGTAAATGTGAAACACTCAGAGCCTACTTTTAAACAGGTATATGCACCATCTATAACTCTTATTTTCATTATCAACATCTTTATTTGACCATGAACATTTCAAATAATAAAAGTAAGGGTTTTCAATGATAATTGTAAACAAATTTCAATTGACAAATAAATAAATAAACAAGACGTAATGGGTCCAACAATTCACCCAAAAACTTTCTTTTCAAGAGAAACATGCAATCATCATCTCCCCATTCATAATTACCACAAAAGAACACAACCTCCGCAAAGTAAGGTTCAACAAAAATAATGAGTTTTCAAATCCCTTTGAATTATACAAACATCTAAAGACAACATTGAAAGGAAAGAATGAAGAAGCAAAAGAAAAAAAATGAATAACTAGAAATAGGCTATTGAAGTACAGAAAATCTTTTTTCAAGCAAAAGAAAAGCCCTTAAGAACAATAACAGTCATTTAGTACAAATAAAAAGAAAAAACCCCAGAAAAGCTGAAATGACAAAGAAAAAGTAAAGAAGACCTGACAGCGACTTATTGCTAGATTCAACAATTCATTCTATCTCATTAGTCATTGGAAGTGCTGACTTGAAAGATGGAGAACTACGAGCTTACAGTAGGGTATCATACATACCTGAAGACAAGACTCTTAAAGATACACAGGAACCGGGTGGGTTGTGTGACCAGGTGGTAGAAATTGAAGCTGTAGCCAATGATGTGAACAGCTGAAAATAACAATGACAGTTAGCTTCATGTTTATGTTTGGCTGGTGTAGTAAGTCAGCAAATCAGTGTAAACTAACAAGAATAATTTAAATGTACAACATTGATCCAAATCAGGACTTTTGGACACACACGCCAACCAGTAGTGTACAAACCAAGAAACTGATACCAGCTAATATTTTAAGATTTTAAGACACTTCTCACTAATTTTGATTTCAGAAATATGCCAAACAATGATTTTAGACCCAAAAAAAAGTATAACAGCTTTGTCAGTTGCAAGATTCCTTTTAGGTTTTTCTTGTGTAAATGTAAGCTATAAGGAGAGGGAGATGTGACAGAGCATTTTAATTTTAACTAGTCTACTTGCTTGAGAGTAAATTCAAAATTGTAGTCCTGAAGAATACATCTCTACTAGCTTGGTCTAAGACTGCCCACCTTGCCATGCCTCTCTTTCTGCCCCCCCCCCCCCCCCCCCCCCTGCCCCCCCCGAAAATTCAACAACAACAAAAGACACCACCATCTCACCAGCAGCAGCAGCAGCAGCAGCAGCAGCAGCAGCAGCAGCAGCAGCAGCAGCAGCAACAACAACAACAACAACAACAACAACAACAACAACTCCCAGCTCCTAACATCCTTCTTAATAAACAGCAACAACAACAAAATCCCAGCAACATGAAAGACGGCTGACATACCAGAGAAAAACAATGCAGTCCATGCCACAATCTTATGGAAAGAAATGTGGGAGTCAAATGGGATGAACTGGTTGAGAGGAGTGGACCTCAGGTAGGTGATGGTGTTACGGCACATTGTCAGCAGGAGGAAGCTGGAAGAGAACATATCATTGCTTTAGAACTGAAAACAGCAATATTAGGATATTATCTCTAAACATATTTCTCCAGAACATTATACTTGGGTGACGAAAGCAGTTCTGGACAAGCGTGTAAACCGGGGCTTAAAATGTTTCCAGATGCTTCTCACAAGCTACCATACAAACATCAAAAAGATCACTCTTGAAAAAAGGGAGGTCATTTCTCAATTGTGAAGCAATAACTTAGGTTAAGAGTAAAATCCCTTTAGTTGGCTGTAGTTTCTTAAGTAGGCAATTCAGATTGTGAGAAAGGCATGTGCCTGCTGGGGTCAACCTGGGCTACATTCCAGTATTGACACTTGCTGTACTTGATAAAGCTATGTTCTTTATCTGGGAATCAACCTTATGTCTTTGGTGTGTAAGAAGAAGAGCTTAACCATAACACCATAATTGCTGGCCATATTAGATACTATGTAGATGGATGAAGGGATAATGGAAGGAGGGATGGCTAGAAAGTATACCTCATATAGATAGACTAATGATCTGCATTTGTATTCTGTGAGTGTAAAAGAGACAAAAAGGAAAAAGATACAGACAGAGAGAGATGGAGAGAATGCAAAATAAGCTAAATGAACCTTTCACCAACCTAAAAGTAAAAGACATGCTCGCTGCTGCCCCTCGGGTCATGCTGATGCCATAGCTCATGAGTTTCCTGAATCCTGCATGCTCCTGCTCCACAGTGTAGTCTGAGAACATCAAAGGACATGATAAAAAATTACAAGTCAATTGGTCGCTTTTAAGGACAAGCGGGCTAACCCAGATTTTGGGGGTTTCCAGAAATCTTGACCTACACCAAAAGTGGGCTTTGCCCTACCTATTGGAAAAGTTTGGTTTCATTGGTATGTATATTTTTTTGGTTATAGAGAAAACTCTCCTTGTCTTTTAAAGAAACTGAACAAGGGGCAAAAACTTTACCTTTGTTTTTCTCAAAACAGCATTTTTCGGGGGAATCTTTTTTTGGGACAGCCCCCTTGTGCTTAAAAGCGACCAATTACAAGATCATTCTTTACTAACGGGAGGTCATTTCTCAGTTGTGAAACAATAACCTTTAAGGTTAAGAGTAAAATCCCCTTTGTTGACTTATTTTCCTATGTAAACAACTCAGACTGTGAAAAAGGCATGAGGCTTTGATCATGCCTGCCACGGTCAACCTGGACTACATCCCATATTTTTTTTTTTATAGTAGAGTGTTTTACGGCGCTCGCAACTGCATAGGTCATATGAGCGCGCGGGACACACCTAATATTTTCAGTTGGTAGGAAATTTAGAATTTTGCCCGGGTGGCGGCCGAAGCCTACTCTTATCGATTTTAGACCACCAAGGGATCTTTAACGTGCGCAACTTGCACACGGGCCCTCCGAGATTTTTCGCCCTTGTCCGAGAAGGCTAGGTGTAGATCTTTCCTAACAGAAGATCAGGGGTGTGGCTGAAAGACTGCAGTAAGAAGAAGCGAAGGAGTAGCAGTAGAAAGGCTGCAGAAAGAATCAGGAGCCCAGAGGAAGGGGCAAAGGAGGTGACGGGGTAAGGGCAGAAAGTGGAGACGAAAGCAGACGACAGAACATTGCTAGAGAGCAGGAAATGAGGTGAAAGGAGACAAATTTAGAGAAGGAAATTTTTCGGTCGCTACCCGGATTCGAACCCGAGACCTTTTGAGTGAGAGGCCAACACCTTAACCTCTAGGCCACGAGAGCCCCTGGACAACATCCCAGTATAGACACTTGCTGTACTTGATAAAGCTATGTTCCTTGTTGGAATCAACCGTAGAAGGTTTAGAAAAATAGACAGAACAAGCAGAAATACCTTTGCCAAGTTATAAACTGTAATTTAAGACAGCAGTGTTTCCACACAAGCAAAAAAAACAACATAACTATTCCTGTACTCAGAAAAATGTCTTATGTTTAAATTAATGCTCACGATTGACGTTATATAGCACAATTATAAATTCGATATTCACAAAACTGCAGCTAAAGGCATAATGAATACTTAATTAGAAATCTCCTCAGAACAAGGCACTGAAAAATTTGATTGCACGTTACATTAAGATCCAATTTGCACAACTAAGATTACCTATGGAGCAGATGGCTTTACATTACATCCTAACAGAAAAATGTAGTTACTAGATGAAAAAGGTTCGACTCCACAGACTCGAACTTCCATTTTTTATGTGATCTGGCCGAAGGGCTAGAACTCAGATAGCTGCTGGATCAGAAAATAAAAGTAAAGTAGTGAGTGACCACAAGCAACGACAAATCCAACAAGTTGAACAATATAAAATCCAATACTCACAGTAGAACCTCTCAGCAAAAAGTCCCCAGCATATGCCGTAGAACAGGATGAGGAAGAAGATGTGGGTCCGGTAGTTCTCAATAAAGTGTTTCACCAATTTCACTCTGGCCTTGAGAGGAGTGTACTGTTCACGCACGGCTTCAAAGTTGCGAACGACTCTTGGGCCATTTCCATTCTCCACCAGTGAAGTGGTGGATGCACGGTGACGAATGTCAGAGTCACCATTGGGGCTGTGGTGGCACGAATGGGATGTGGTGTGAGGCAGAACTTAATGGAATGAGAAAAACTACTGAATTTTCGACTGTGTACTCTTCTGCTGGTTAAACTTAAAATACTCTAAAAATTAAAACGCTGATATATAAAATACCAATGTTGTTATCAGTCCAGACATTATACCAACATACAAATACACGGCAAAAAATATCCATGAAATTGAAAAAAAGATTTTAAGTCTTAAAATCACTCTTTTCTTCAAAGTAAATAACACTGACTTAATAAAGTGTTTTATGATATTTTAAAAAATTATGACAGCATCACCATCAAAAGTTGTGACACCTAGCGCCATTCACCACTGTGCATCCTAATAACAATGATCATTGTAGAATGAAAACATTATTACAAAGACTTTCTACTTTTACTCACTTCTTTTTAGCCTTTGGTACACTTGGAACAACTTTGGTCAAGCCTAAGGATTGAAATAAATGAAATGCTTATAAAAACATTAACGTTTAAGGTGGCATACAGTGTAGAAATACTACACACACATACACACATACACAAACACACACACACACTCACTCATACACAAACACACACACACACTTACATTTGCATACACATAACCTAATTGTGTTACTAAAAACATAAAAGAAAACAAACAAAAAAAAACACCCTCCCCCCAAAAAAACAACAAAACAACAAACTATCAAAAAAAGAACAACCCATCTTTTCTTTTCCAAAGATCAACTCACCCTTCCAGTCGAAGGAAGAATCCGACAGTTTGTCCATCTGAGGCGATAGCAGCTGGCAAAAGTCCTCAAAGGAGTATCTGTCCTTGGGTGCGAGTCCTGACTGAGTGCACAGGGAACTCACCAGCATGTCCACGTTCTCCTGGCTCATGTCCCCTTGGGCCATCTCCAGAAGGGACCTGGGTTTGTTATAATTTGAAAACAAAAAGAAAAATGACTATATTTGGACATCTATTTTTTGTTTTAGTAAAAGTTTTACGACACTTGCAACACAATTAGGTCATATAAATGCCAAAGATTAGAGGTGTTACAAGAGAGTAACAAACACAAAAAAAAGAAGGAGAGATGAGGACGATAAGTTTCTGATGAGAAAGAAGGAGCAGACAACACAATGACATGAGCACTCACCAACTGCCCACTTGGGCATTGTGAAAAAACATTGTTCCTCTTTTTTTTTTTGGTAAAGTGTTTTACGGCGCTCGCAACTGCATAAGGTCATATGAACGCGCGGGACACACCTAATATTTTCAGTTGGTAGGAAATTTTGAATTTTGCCCGGGTGGCGGCCAAAACCTACTCTTATCGATTTTAGACCACCAAGGGATCTTTAACGTGCGCAACTTTCACACGCGCCCTCCGAGATTTTTCGTCCTTGTCCGAGAAGGCTAGGTGTAGATCTTTCCTACCAGAAGATCAGGGGTGTGGCTGAAAGACAGCAGTAAGAAGGAGCCAAGGAGTAGCAGTAGAAAGGCTGCAGAAAGAGTCAGGAGCCCGGAGGAGGAGGCAAAGGAGGTGAGGGGGTGGGGGCAGAAATTGGAAATGAAAGCAGACAACAGAACATTGCAAGAGACCTGGAAAGGAGGTAAAAGGAGTTCCTCTTTAAAGTTAGAGACATGGTCCTAAGATTGCTTTTGTGTGTGTGTGCGTGCGCATGTGTGTGTGTATGTGAGTTTGTATGTCAGTATCTCTGCCTCTATTTTCTACACTCACATCCTAGCTTGATCTTTTCTGCACAAACACCCAGTAGCTCCCCTGACTCACCTAAACATTTGTCCAATCTGTTTCTTGCTCATGTAGCCAGTGCCATCAATGTCATACATGTAAAACATTGTCTGCAGTTTTTCTTGAATGGAGCCTGGAGAAAACAATAAATAGTATGTGTTAAGTATTTGTTTTATGATTCATTCAAAAGTCTGTTTAATGTTAGGATCCTAGCCAGGATTTCCTTTTGAAAATCATCATTAGAGTGGTGAGCTCTAAAGGCTCTCCACTTGTTAGGCTCAGACCTAATCATTAAACTTTTTAATATTTCATTTCCTTTACTCATCACGAGATCCTATTTTGAAATCAGAATTGTAGAATTTCCTGATATTACTATAAAATTTTATCCACATCTGTGGTGTATGGTTTGTTTTTTTTGTCACGTCCAGTATGGTGAGCTACTTCATCATGCATCTCTGTCTGCTGGGAAATTGTAGGCCTATCCCACGAGATTGTGTCAGTGGGTGTATAAAATATTTAGGACTATAAAAATCCTTCCATCAGAGGAATGTCACCTTGTTACTTGTTACATTATAGTAAACTTTATTGATTTCTTAAGTTCTCAAGTTGTTCTTATCTTATAAGCCAATAAGGATCACCTTGTTAATTCTGTGTTTTCTTGATAAAAGAGTTTTACATCCAACTAGAACAAAAAAGTTAAAAAAAAGAAACAGGCTCACCTTTGGAAAAGAGGACAACAGCATTGAGAAACTCGCGGAAGGAGATGTAGCCATTGCGATCCGAGTCAATGAGACTGAAGAAGTGCTCCACAAAGTCAGAGTTGGCCTTGACAGCCATTGCCTCAGCAAACTCTTCTTTGGACAGTTCAATCTGTGGGGCAGAGAATTATTTTGGTTCAGTCACATGATTGTTGGACTTTTTTGAGTAAAGAGAAAGTTGTTTAAAACAATAACAGGCACCTTATGCGGGTGAAAAGAAAGGCAAACAGACAGAAACAAGAGGAAAACAAAGAAATAAGACTTATCGGACCAGTGGTGCCCTTTGACCAACTGCTCAAACTAAATAGATAAAAGTAAAGAATTACCTCCAGGGACCACTTTTCATCCTAACTATTGACCCACCTCTAAGATTTCCTGGCTGTGTTTCTTCATGTCCAGCTGACCGCTGTCTAGACTCGGGTCATAGTCCATGTGGAATGCCTGAGGTGGGAAAGAAAAGATAAGGTGAAATATAATAAAAGGACAAGATTAAATTTTTAATGGATGGGCCCTCTACACAAAATATTGACCTTTTGTTCTCACCGTTTCCCTTCTGTTCCAAAGAGGGTGTGTTCAAAGTAAAAATCTTTACTTATTTCACACAATTGAAAAATACGAGTCTCAGTTTCTCCAAAAAAGTACCTCGTCAACAGCCATCTCATCACTTTGTGTGTCATGTATGTCACAAAGCTATAGCAACTGTACACCTAAAACTCTGCTCTTACGAGGTCACAGTCAATAAAGCAACATACAAAGAAAGCTTGGAGAGATAAGGGCAACAGAGCGCTCTGTTGTGAGACAAAGATGATAGGCATTTGATGGGATAGAAATAGCAAACTACACCAGAGTTTTGTTTGGTTTTGTTTGAGTAAAGAAAAACACATCGACACAATAATGGTTATTTAGTGCTTGGAAAAAGTAGGACAGATAGACAAAAACAACAAAGTGGGAAAGTAAAGAAGTAAAACCTACCAGTGGTGCCCTCCAACCAACTACAGGCTAGAAGTGTTACTAGAAAGTAAATTACAAAGAAAACAAGGAGGAGAGATGAAGACAATAGGTGTTTGATAGGAAAAAGAAATAGCAAACTACACCAGAGCACCTGCCAACCACTCAGTGCCCACCTCAGAGAAGACTGTCTTAAAGAATTTCTCCAGCATCTGGTTTCTCTTCTCCTTGGTGGTGGCTGCGTCTAGAAGGTCTTGCAACTTCAGAGCAATCACGTTCACACCCACATTGTGGCCCGTGGCAAAGTCACACAGGATGTTCTCAAACTCATTCCTAAGAGGTTCATTGGGGAAAACAACCACCTAGTGATGGAGACATAGAAACATAAAATAAGAGCATTGATAATTGTTTAAGAAGGTCACCTGTTGTCAATAAAAAAAATGGCTGTCTTAAATAGATGGATGTCTTACACTGTGTCACTTTCATGTAAGCAAAAAAATGTAAGGAGCAAAATGGGAAGTGGCTATATTACTGGTGGTCGTCAAAGCAGGTTGGACTGTAATTATTACTTTTTACTTTTCTTTTTACTGACAGAGTTTACACATTATTTCACTCAGAAGGAGCAGACCACACCAGAACTTTAACAAAGAGGCTCCAGAGGCTAAGTAAGTAGTGAGTTCAAACTCAAAAGTAATGTCAAGCAAGTGTTGGTTACACGAGGTATACATGGGTGGTCACTGGGGTGTGTTCTTTAGCAAGACACAACAACCTTAGCTAAAAAAAAAACTTTAAAAAACCAGGATGATGCACTGTGGCAACCAGCAATGACATGTTTGAGAAATTGTTCTGTATTGGTGTAATATTGTGTATTTATGGATGTATTTATCAGGCCAAAGGGCTAGAATTCAGATGGCGGGTGGATCGGAAAAGTAAAGTTAAGCAAAGTATGGATGCATTTATGCGTGTACGTTTACAATTATGTATATAGGCATGTCTGTACATTGGCCGTTGTAACCCAAATTTTCAAACAGGAAACAATAAAATGTAATTAATTCATTCATTACTATTTTATCATAAATTTAAAATTCTGGTCCCTCACCAAGTCGTACTCCCGAGGGATAATGAACACCATTGTTGTCCTCTTCTTGTTGGAGGAAATCTTCACATCAACTGCTTGCATGGAAGAGATCTTGATGGAGCGTATGTGCGATCCAGTGGTCGTGAACACCTCCAGGGTGCCTTTGGTGGTCAAGTGAAGTTCAATGGATCGGCCAGCCACTTCCTTCCCTCGCCACTCCATTGCATCGTGTACTGAGGACAGTTGAGAAAAATGACACATGGGTGAGAACTACTTGGTCATGATAGCCCCACCAAAAAACAAATAAGAGAGGCTTTCATACCCAGAAAGTTAAAATCAAATGTTTAAAGGCAAAAGTTTCAAAGTCCAAAGCCCACTTAATTTGAATCAAAGTTCCTTACTTTTATATAGGAAAAAAAAGACAGTCTAAATTTGTGCAGATAAGATGTTTTTGCTTTGTACTCGCAATTTACAAAGGTAAAGTAAACTTAAAGGTTTCTTTAAGGAGAAGGAAATAAAGGGAATGGAGGGAGAGAGTGAATGTGCGCATGTGTGTGTGTATGCGTGCTTGCGTGCTTGCATGTGTATGCGTACATGTATGAGTGTGTGTGTGTGTGTGTGTGTGTGTGTGTGTGTGTGTGTGTGTGTGTGCGTGTGTGCGTGTGTTTGTGGTGAGTGTGGGTGCGAGTGTGTGAACAAGTGTTTGTATTTTAACAACGACAATCATGATGACGTTATTTTTTTCATTACTCATGAAGAAATGTGCCTTTGGAGGTTTACCATGGCGGTGGTGTCACAAAGGCCTGGTGAACTCAAACATAACTAAAAGAGACAGATGATGATTTCGGTGTTTGATAGCGTTTTAGTGTGTGTGTGTGTGTGTGTGTGTGTGTGTGTGTGTGTGTGTGTGTGTGTGTTTTGTGTGTGTGGTGTCACACGTATCGAATGTTTGTATGTTGGAGTGAATGTGAATATTATGTTAGTGAGTATGTGCGTTTGTGAAACAGTGTTTGCATGTTTGAATGCGTATTATGTGTTTGTTTTGTTAAGGTTTTTTGGGGGAGGGGGAGGGTGCAACCGAGTGTGTTTATGTTTGCGTGCTTTTCAGTAGGTATGTGTATGTATGTGTGCGTACATGTGTGTGTGTGTGTGTGTGTGTGTGTGTGTATGTGTGTGTGTGTGTGTGAGTTTCTTTGTTAGAGAATAATATAAT